TCTCTGATGAGGAATGCTGCCTGTAATCAGGAATTATCTCTCATAAATGGATGCGATATGGGGAAAAGAAACCTTTAAAGGTAAAAAAAAAAGAAATGCCAGTCCCACAATAGAAAAACTGTACACCTTGATTGGTCCCAATTAAACTTGTTCTTTTTTTTTCCAATACCATTAAAATATACAACTAGATTGAGACACAGAGAGAAAATAAAAAAAAATAAAAAACAGAATCCCTCAGAGTAAGCCAAGTTTTTTTAATTTTTTTTATTTCTGTTTTATTCATAGTTTTCCAAAATCATAACAATTGTGATTTTGCAGATCCCTAGGTAAATAACAATTTGCATCCATACAAGCAATCACGTATAGTAAAAGTAATGAAAAACAAAACAAAACTAAAGCTAACTGTCAACAGAATTTATCTCTATATTGAAGACCCTTGCTGAGTCGGTCTTTTACTGTTCATGTTATAGTGTTGGGAAGCAGAGTTTTTTTAAACTTCTTTAAAGCATATTAATTAAATAACGAAGGTTTCATAAGAATGCAATCTACACGGACTCAGCTTTTCCTTTATGGGACAGTTGTTTATTTTATTTTGCTTCTAGAATCACAGACGTAGCATATGCAGACTCTCCTTGATGAACCCCCTTTGGTGAGCCCGTTTGTGGAAAGGTTAAAGGTAACATATTAAGGCAGATGAAAGGTATCATGTTAAGACTTCTAGATTATCATCCAAACCTTTAAAGTGAAATGCAGTGTAACCCTAGTACTACCGCCATATAATTACTTCCTGCAGTATTAGAACCAGTTTCCCCCATTACGACCGTTCTCTGAGATTCCTTCCCCCTTATCTGCTATTTCTTATTTTGTCTCTTTCAGTTAATGTATCTGAGGCACAACTCAATAAAGCCTGATTAGATACACATTTACTGATTTTAGTCTTAGCCCTCCCTTAGCTAACCCCGTACATTATTTAACACTTTATTTTATGCTATATACAACATTTACCAGTTTTTGGAACCTAGTGTTCCACCATTTTGTAGTTGTCTAATTTATACAGGGTTCATACCCAGGATAGACTGGTACTATCCTCTCTGATTCTTTTTCCCCAGACCTGCAGGTCGAGTGAAAAAGCTGTTTTGTTTTACTTAAAATTACACAGCACTCACATATTTTATAAAAATTGAGATGTTTTCACACATGCACAGTTCCTTTGGTATTGAATAACAGATTTGACATTGTTTCAATGTTTCAACAGGACAGTTACTTAAGCAGACACTTACATGAGCAGAATAACAACCTTGACTGCTTCTGTAAATTTCTGTCTTCTGTTTCAGGAATGCTTGCAACTGCAATGATCAGCCACAACATTAAAACCAACCGCTTAATATTATGTAGGTCCACCAAACCAGCTCTGATGCATCAAGTCATGGACTCCACAAGACCTCAAGCAAGTGTTATCTGGCACAAAGACATTACCAGCAGATCATTTAAGTCCTGCAAGTTGAGAGGTGGGGCCCTCCATGGATTAGATTTGTTCTTCCAGCATTAGTGATGTCCCGAACGGTTCACCGAACGGTTCGCCGCGGACTCATCATTGAGTAAACTTTGACCCTGTACCTCACAGTCAGCAGACACATTCCAGCCAACCAGCAGCAGACCCTCCCTCCCAGACCCTCCCACCTCCTGGAGGCCAAGGTAACATCCTGAACTCTTTGTCATGTTCCTTAAACAATCCCTGAACAATATGTGCAGTTTGTCAGGGCGCATTATACTTCAGAAACAAAAAAGAACAAAGCACAGAAGCAAAATCCATGGAGAAAGACACACAAAATGGTTATTATCTCTCTCCACAGAATATGTACACCAGTGAGACACTCCAGTGGTGTCTCAGGGCTTAACCCTAAATAGTATTAAAAGAAAGAAAAAAGTTCACACCTCTTAAAAACTGTGAAAGGATGCTACCTGGAAATAGAAACAGTATCTATTTATAATGACAAATTGGTAGATACAATCATACAAACGTAAAAAGAGAGATCGAAAGTGTACATAATTAAATACAAGCCTTATTAGGCTTCTGCTGAGCCTGGATAGTAATCTCCCCAAATAATATACTGAAAACTTGGCATATCTATCTGCCCAGTGTGCCCATGCTTTAAATGGCGTTCCCCTCTCTTCTCCCTGTCAAGATGCTATAAGCTGATGAGATCTTCCAGGTGCATGTGTGATTCTATCAGTCATGCCTAATGGACTTTTCCAGAATTTCTAGGGATAGGACACTAATTGGTTAGATCAGTGTAACCCATAGGAGTGGATGTTGAAAGCATAAGAAAGAAGGAGCAGGTAAATATGAAAATAATACTAATAATAGTTACCTGCTTTTTTTAGTCTGCAGAGTGAGGCAACTGTCATTTAAAGTGTCATTCTATGACTATTCAAAATGTTGGGCGGTATGTGAAACACAGTTTACTCAACACTGACTTGTATTGTAGAAGGTGGTCTGCAGCATGTTTTATGATTCTATATATTATTTAAATAACTAAGTGTATATATTAAAAGGACACTCCAGACACCTTAACAATTTAAAGGAACACTATAGGTACCCAGACCACTTCAGCTCATTGAAGTGGTCAGGGTACAATGTCCCATGTCCATTAACCCTACAGTGGTAATTATTGTGGTTTCTGAGAAACTGCAGTAATTACCTCTAAGTGTTAACTCCATCCCTAGTGGCTGTCTACCAGGCAGCCACTAGAGGGATTTCCGGTGTGCATGAGGACATCCAACGTAAATCAAATACCCATAGGAAAGCAATGAAACAATGCTTTCCTATAGGGAATCCTAATGCAAGGGCTGATATCAGAGGGGGAGGAGCATTGGGGGAGCCTGACCCAGCGCTAGATTCAGCTAAGTGATTGAAGGGATTTAAACCCCATTCAGCGCTGGGTGAGAGGGGCTTTGTTTTCCTGGCACTATAGTATCCCTTTAATCAAGTCTTCAGTCTGGAGTGAGAAAAATATCCGTTTTGTGTATGGGGAGCTACTAATAGGCTGTGAATATCAGCTGATTCCTGGTTTCCTGATTGAAGCCATGGACTGCAATTGAAGTTCTGGGCCAGACCTAATGGCATCAAACTTAAAGGACCATTATAGGCAACCAGACCACTTCAGCTGAATGAAATGGTCTGGGTGTCAGGTCCCCCTAGTTTTAACCATGCAGCTGTAAACATATCATATCAGTTTGAGGGTTAATCCAGCCTCTAGTGGCTGTCTCCCTGACAGCCACTAGAGGCCGCTTCCGCGATTCTGGACGATTGAGTAATGCTTTTCTATGGGCCGTTTGAATGCGTGCGCGCCTATGGCTGCGCATGCGCATTCGGAGCTGATTTCGGCCCCGCACTGGATTAATGTAAGTGGCGGAAGGGGTTTTAACCCCTTCAGCCCAGCGGGAGGTGGCCCCTTAGATAGGGTGGGGGACCTAATAACCATATAGTGCCAGGAAAACAAGTTTGTTTTCCTGGCAGTTCTTCTTTAAGACTTTGGATAAACCATTTGATCAGGGATTTACAAATTTGCTTGAAACCTAGGAGCCAGCTAAAAAAAGACAGGTTGTTTTTTTAACCCGTTAAAGACCAAACTTCTGGAATAAAATGGAATCATGACATGTCACACATGTGATGTGTCCTTAAGGGGTTAAACTAACAAGGTTTCATTTTCAATGATAAAAATAGAATTCTTAAAGGGTCACTATAGTCACCAGAACCGCTACAGCTTAAATAAGTTGTTCTGGTGTTTATATCCTGTCCCTGGAGGCTGAACACTGTAAAAGCTGCCTTTTCAGAAAAAAAGGCAGTGTATACATTGCTGCCTAGTAGCACCTCTAGTGACAGCACTAGATGTGATTCCTAGTCCAGTGCAGCCCTTCATTCAGAGGGCCTGATAACTATTAATTGTACAGCGCTACGGAATCTGATGGCGCTATATAAATAATAAAATAATAATATTAAACACCCACTGACAAACACGTACGCTCACTGACAGACACACATACGCACTGACTGACACACATTGACAGACACACACAGCGCACAAAGGAGCAGAGCAAGAACTACAAGAAGATTACTGATCCATGCTCCCTCAGCCGGTCGCGTCCGCTCAACGGGCTGACCAACACCAAGGCACCAGAACAAAATTCTTAGCTGCCATGGCGACCTTGGGCTAGGGATTTGTTGAGCCCTGCATTTGATGATGGTTTAACCACTGAAGGTAAGTTGGAGCAAGGAACTTTCTGGCACCATGACAACTTTATAAACCAATAAGTTGTTACAGTGTCCACTCCAGAGTATTCCTTTCACCAACCTTTATTGCCTTCAGCTTGGAGAGTTTTATATTCTTTTATTGCTTTAGCCTTCACCAGACTATACCTGGACATCACTCTTGGTCACATTGGGCTATATCCTCCTGTTCTACACTCCTATTGAAATAGTGAATATATAATAGAGAAACATGAATTATATGACAGGTAAATAATGCCTTTGATGGGGACATCATCATAAACTCAGAGAAAGTTGGTCAAAATATTTATAAACATCTAGTGAATCTAATACGTTTCTATGTTCATAACACAAAGGTCTCCAGTACTTTGTAACTGTAAGAGTGCAATGCTCTTTGTTATGAGACTAGATAAATTTGTTTATATCCTACTGTATACTACTAAAATAGCGGTTATGTGTAGTAATAGCACAAGATAAGTGTTGGAGAATATTCTCTTCTTCGTTTTTCCATTTGAACACTTGCACGCCACATGCCCTCTAGTGGTCAGACATGGAACTAACAAGTCTCGTGTTTTCCATAACTTTGAATTGATGTAACATGTACGAGAAACATATACAAGTATATACAATAAACGATCTATAGAATGTCAATATATGTGCTTAAGGCCATATATACGAATTAAAATGATAGACTATTTACAAGTTAGAGATCACCTGACAGAGTCATGTGATGGAACCCGGAAGTGTGTCTTGTCATGAGACATTGTTAATCTGGCTAAGATGTCTGTGTTCGCTGTCTGGGTGCTCTCTATCTGCCTGCTTTTAGTGCAGGGAAGTCCCGTTCAGAAAAGCGATGGGGAACCGGTACCGCTTGTTATATGGCACGGAATGGGTAAGCAACAAAGCCTTCTTCATTTCCACTAATTGTATTTATTAGTTTGCAGGTCTTCCAATACTTTTCTGCATTTTACCCTAGGGGAGATACGTCTTTGATTTAAAAAAAATTTTTTTTTGTAAACGGATTTTGTACCTACGTTTCTCTTTGTATTTATTATTATTATTATTATTGTGTACTTTACCAGGTGACTCTTGCTGTAACCCCTTCAGTATGGGAGCCATTAAGAAAATGGTCGAAAGGCAGATTCCTGGGGTTTATGTGCTTTCTCTGGAGATTGGGAACAGTATTACTCAGGTATGACCGGGCACACTATGGAGGGCAGGATTTCAGTATGTTGCCTGCTTTGCCATAATGTGTGATGTCCAGCAGAACTTAATCTAATTTTCTTATAGGACATGGAAAATAGTTTCTTTCTCAATGTGAATGAGCAGGTGGCTAGAGTTTGTGAGCAGCTAGCAAAAGATCCCAAGCTACAGCAGGGCTACAACAGCATGGGATTCTCACAAGGGGGTCAGTTCCTGTAAGTGTCATTTTGTGGAGTGTTATAACAGTGGAGCTGGATTAAAAAAGAAAAAATCTATGCTAACCCTTGTCTCATGTTTTCTCAGGAGAGCTGTGGCCCAGAGATGTCCTTCTCCTCCCATGCATAACTTGATCTCCATTGGTGGCCAACATCAAGGTATTGCCAGTATTGGAACAGAAAATTGTGCTAAATTTGTATTTAACAATGTTTTCATTAGTAATTTAGAACACTGGAAATTTGCATAGGCATAAAAGGCTAAATTTGGAGAAAATTATTTCAACCCTTTTTACTCCATGTTCAGTTGTGATACAGGAAATATGTATGGGAAAAATGCTCAATTTAAAATGTACTTAAAACTAATGGTACATGATGATGATATTTGCATTATGGCATGTGGGGTCCATATTGCCACAGGATTCTAGAAAATAAAGCAAATACTCCAGCACTTTGCGAGAGACACAGTAATGGTAGTTCACAATCTGCTAGTGTTGCAAATGGAGCACATTCCTCTCTTTGTGTATTGGTTACAGCTGTCCTATTCTTTGAGTACAGGGGTGAAATGCTTTGGTTGTGAAAGGACCTGTCATATGCCCTTACACTTTGGTTGCGTTGCATACCTTATTTTTATACTTGTACACACTTTTTGTAGAGATAAAATAGAGCAGTGGTCCTCAATTCTTTGCTCCGTATCCATTGTAATTCCATACTACCTTAACTGCCTCACTCTTTTTTTTTTCAATCTGCCACCTTCCTTTATTTTATTTTTTCTTTCTTTTTTTTTTTATCTTTCACAAACCTTTTAAAACCGGCCTATACAAAATGTGTCCTATGCAGGGCCGTCTTTCCCCATGGGCACACTGGGCAGTTGCCTGGGGGCCCCACCCCGCTGCCCAGCGTGCCTAGGCAGATTGGAGATCATTTGATCTCCCCTACCGGCCCATGGAGAGCCGGCCCTGTTTAATGGTTGTGGGCCATCTCTGGCTTGTGAGGAGATAAGAGATCTCTCTCATCGGCCCAAGGCCCTTTCGATCGGGGCGGGAGGACCCGGAGGCAGAGGGAGGGACCTGGGAAGCAGATCGCATCTCCCACAAGCAGGCTATGTGGAGCGTTACCATGACAATGCTCCACGCAGCCTTCTGCATGCAGTAGTACAGGAGAGTCTGCAGCCAGACGAGCTGCAGACTGCATAGAACTTACCATCAATGGACCACCATTGGCTGAGTCCCCCGCTTCTTTACCAAAGGTAAGAAGGGAGGGGGGAAATGAAGATTTTATTAATGTATAGGATTATTAATAAAACTAAATTAAAAAAAAAAAAATCTTTGCTACCTGCCCCCCCTCAAACTCTGCAACATGCACCCCTCAGTGTGTGTGTGTGTGTATTCAGCGGACTATACATATTTAGCAGTCTGTGTGTGCGTGTATTTAGCGCACTGTGTGAGTGCGCGTGTGTATTCAACAGTCGGTGTATGTATTGCATTTGTTGGAGATACTAATAAATATAAGCTTAATTTTATCTATAATTTAAATTTTTTATCCTGTGAGTTGTGTGTAGGCAGGGAACCAGTGCACTGCTCTAACCAGGGGCCCCTAATGTTTAGATAACACTGGTCCTATGATTGCCAGCTTGTCAACACCAAAAATTACAGACACAAACACACACTCACAGACACACATGCTGATATTGACAGATACGCACATTCCTCTCACACACAGAAATTATTTCCTTTCCCTGGGTCCAGTATGGCTGCTGTAATTTTCAAGCTTTCTTGCTGTGCTCCCTTGAGCACTGTTAATAATGATTTATCCACTGACTGTAAGTTGGAGCAAGGAACTTCCTGGCACAATTAAAACTTTATACCAGTAAAGTTGTTATAGTGTCCACGGTATTCCTTTAACCAACCTATATTGCCTTCACCTTGGAGAGGTGTGTTGTGTTTTTTTTTTTTGTTTTTTTTTAAATATTCTTTTATCTTTTTATCCTTAACCAGAATAAAGATGGCAACAAGCCTGGTATAATCAACACCATAAACTTATTTGTCCTCAGAACGCCTTCACCCTATAATTTAGCTTAAGCAGCTGATAGCATCCATGTAATATGCCTAGAACTGATTTTACTGTCCGACTATAAATGGGGCACTCTGGACATATAGCCACTATTATATTGCCTATAGTCTGTGTGCCTTCCCTGGTTTTATGTCAAAATGTTCAGGAGATGTCTATCAACACAAATGGTGTTCTCCTTGACACCCCAGAGTCTACCCATTCAGTGCAGCTCAATTAGACATTTTTGCAAGGCAGGTGCTCTGGGCAATTGCTGCCCCTCGAGTTTAGCTTCACTGAGCTAAACAAACCAGGAAGTAGCATGATCTGTTGTCTGACAGCCAAGGATGCGTAACAAGATTAGTTTAAAAAAGTGCTTATTTCTATTGAAATCTGCACTTTTGTAATATGGGGAAGACATACTCTTCACACAGAAAGCATTTCAGCAAGCAAAAGTGCTCCAGGGCTCTGAAGTGTTCCTTTTTCTACCACCAAAGAGCATTATTTCCCTGCAGGCACACTTACTCCATGCAATATTTTTATAAAGGCTTTCATTAAGATTGTCTGTCTGTGTACCATGTGTCTAGGTGTATATGGCCTCCCCCATTGTCCTGGAGAAGTGTCCCATATATGTGACTGGATAAGAAAGCTGCTGAATTCTGGAGCCTACACCAAACCCGTACAGGAACAGTGAGTTTTCGTGGGAATACTTTCTATGTTGAGGAACAGAGTTGCAAAGTCTCTATCTTAACACAAAACCTATGTGTGCATTTCAATACAGTCTGGTGCAAGCAGAATATTGGCATGATCCGCTCAATGAAGAGGCCTACCAAAAGAACAGCATTTTCCTTGCCGATATCAATCAGGAGAGAGTGAGTGATCCATTTATGTAAAATATCACAATATGTTTGTTTGAGACCTTAAACTCACTAAAAATAACATATTTATTTACAGAAAGCCTCATTATGATGGTGAACTCAATCTAAGAGTCCCCAGACAGCAAGAAATCTTCTCTCTCTTCCTGCAGTCACAAACGCATTGGTTTCATTCCAGATCACATATATTGATCATGAATGAAAATATAGGGCTCATTTGTGTGAAACAAACACTGACATACCTGTTTGGTTTTAAGCAAACCAGACTTACTGGAGTAGAAAACTTGTCAGTAGAGGATGCAAATGTATTTTAAAGCGACACTTAATGAAGGTTTTTGATTATGTATTTAAATATAAATGGGTACAAACAAACAAACAAAAACTAAACAAATTAGCCACTTTGCATACCCTCCTTGTTGCTTACTCTGCATCAAGGATGTTGCTGTTTAAATTAGTACTGAGCATACACGTAAGTGCATGCATATCCTGCTAGTGACGTGTGATGACATTAACACATGTACACAGTAGATTCCAATGCATTCCTTTGAAAAGTGCTGAGGCATGTATAGTAATCTCACCCATTCACCTTTTTTTTTTTTTTTTGTGTGTGTGTGTGTGTGTGTATTGATAATGCCCCTGCAGGCTCACTTCTCAATTCTCTGCCAATTAGATAAATCACTTTTATTTCTCTTTTATGCAGCCATAGCCACATCACCCTTGGCTTGACTCACCCAGAACCTGCATGGAAAAATAATGATTTAATTTTCAATATGGATCTTACAGCACAATGTGCTAACTTTTTGGTAGTTTTTATCTTCTGCTCTGTTAATTGAACTTTTAGCATGCACAAGAGGCTCCTGCGGGCTTTTAACAGGAGATAAATTAAACAGATTGTGCAAAAAAGAAAGTTTTAAAGGGACACTATAGGCAAACAGATCACTTCAACTCATTGAAGTGAGGTGTCCCTGAACCCTACAATGCTAATTATTGCAGTTTTTAAGAAACTGCAATAATTCGATAGGTGGGTTAACTCCACCACTAACGGCTGTCTACCAAACAGCCACTAGAAGGACTTCTGGGCCATTAGGCGACTTTTAGTCGCCTAACTGATGCTGGACATCCTCACGCTATGCATGGGGACGTTCAGTGTCACCCAAAACCACATAGGTAAGCATTGTATAATGGTTTCCTATGGAGAAATCCTAATGGGAGTGTGGCCATTGCACCGCATATGCATTAGGACTCCCCTGCCAGATGATGTCTGTGGGGGAGAAGCAAAGGCGGACCCGAGTCAGTGCCAAGGGATATTGGCGCTGGACTGAGGTAAGTGACAGAAGGTTTTTTTTTTTTTACCCTTTATGCCCCACGGTGGGAGGGGAATGAGGGAAGAAAAGTTTTCCTGGCACTCTAGTTTCCCTTTAAATGTTAGAGAGACTGTGTGGGTAACCTGTAGAGGAAGTGTAGTTAGAACTGCATAAACAAAGTTTATGGAATAGCTTGCCTATTGCCATGAGACTCTCCCCTAGTCTTCAATCATTTAAGAAGGGCCTTAAAACCCATCTCTTCAGGAAAGCTTATGGCCTCCCAGAGTAATCTCTACCTTACATACCTGTCTTCTGCTCTCTCCTATGGGACAGTGCTTTGCTCTCTCCTCCAGCTCTGCACTCCTACTTGATATTTCCTGTCCTAATGTTTCTAATACCCCACCTCCTATAGCATGTAAGCTCGTTTGAGCAGGGTCCTCTTCAACCTATTGTTCCTGTAAGTTTTCTTGTAATAGTCCTATTTATTGTTAAATCCCCCTTCTCAAAATATTGTAAAGCGCTACGGAATCTGTTGACGCTATATAAATGGCAATAATAATAATATATGCCATAGAATTGAGTCGTTAGAGGGCTTCAGGGCAATGATCACTACATCAAGCTTAAGTTGTTTTAGTGCTTATAGTGTCCCTTTTAGGCTATAAAGGGACATTCTAAGCACCAAAACAACCTTAGCTTTGTGAAGCAGTTTTGGTGTATAGAACATTCACCTGCAGTCTTGCTTCTCAATTCGCTGCAATTTAGGAGTTAATCACTTTTGTTTCTGTTTGTACAGCCCTAACCACATCTCTCCTGACTGACTCACACGGCTAACATAAAAAATGGTCTAATTTCATTAATAAAAAAACCAATACATAAATATTGGCACTCAACAGGCTATAGGTGCTGTTATTGAGGTTGCCTGCCCTACGATATAATAGGAAAAAAAACCTGATGTTACAGCACTCAAAAAATACAATTTTAATTACTTTTATATGGGCAATAATGCCTATATCTTGCAGAGATTTGATAGGCCAAAAAGTTATAGCAGAATTGAAAGATACATATGTAAGCATATAATGTATGTGCCTAAACCTAAGGATCCATCACCAGTATAGAAAGATAAAAATAAAAAAATAAAAATTGAAAAATATGTACAAGCATATAAATAAAATGTACCCTGCGCAAGAATCTCTATAATCTCTCATATGTTAATTTTTTTATGTTAGCCGTGTGAGTCAGTCAGGAGAGATGTGGTTAGGGCTGTACAAACAGAAACAAAAGTGATTAACTCCTAAATTGCAGCGAATTGAGAAGCAAGACTGCGGGTGAATGTTCATCAATAGTAGGATACACTGTTAATACTTAAATGTGGATAAGTGCAAGATAATGCATCTTGGACGTAAAAACCCAAGGGCAGAGTACAGAATATTTAATAGAGTCCTAACCTCAACATCTGAGGAAAGGGATTTAGGGGTGATTATTTCTGATGACTTAAAGGTAGGCAGACAATGTAATAGAGCAGCAGGAAATGCTAGCAGAATGCTTGGTTGTATAGGGAGAGGTATTAGCAGTAGAAAGAGGGAAGTGCTCATGCCATTGTACAGAACACTGGTGAGACCTCACTTGGAGTATTGTACGCAGTATTGGAGACCGTATCTCCAGCAGGATATTGATACTTTAGAGAGAGTTCAGAGAAGGGCTACTAAACTGGTTCATGGATTGCAGGATAAAACTTACCAGGAAAGGTTAAAGGATCTTAACATGTATAGCTTGGAGGAAAGACGAGACAGGGGGGATATAATAGAAACATTTAACTTCATAAAGGGAATCAACACAGTAAACGAGGAGACTGTATTTAAAATAAGAAACTACCACAACAAGGACATAGTCTTAAATTAGAAGGGCAAAGGTTTAAAACTAATATCAGGAAGTATTACTTTACAGAGTGGGTAGCGGATGCTTGAAATAGCCTTCCAGCTAAAGTGGTAGATGTTAACACAGGGAGTTTAAGCATGCATGGGATAGGCATAAAGCTATCCTAGCTATAAGATAAGGCCAGGGACTAATGAATGTATTTAGAAAATTGGGCAGATTATATGGGCTGAATGGTTCTTACCTGCCGTCACATTCTATGTTTTCAATATCAATACAAGTTTCAGGAGAAAATCTTTTTAAGATTTAATTTTTGGTGGTTTTCTACCATACAATAGTCTCTTTGGAGGATAATCCATTATTTGTTATGCAATATAATATAATTTTAAAGGAGCACTATAGGGGCAGGTACACAAATATGTATTCCTAACCTTATAGGGTTAATACCACCGGGGGGAGGGGAGCAAAAAAAAGTGGATCCGAAAGACTTATTACAGAGCCTTAAAATAGCCGGACTTAACGTATTATTACAACAAGAAACATGGTCAAGATAAATCAAGGTCCGGATTGCAGAAATAATCAGTCAAGACAAAGCCGGGTCAGGATACCCAAAATCACAAGGTCACTAAGAAGCAGAGTCTGGTTACCTGGAAATTACGATGCCGAGATCAAACACAGAAAATCACTAGGAGCACAAAGCAAATATCTATACAGAAACCACGATAGGGCAATGAATGAAGGCTAAAACAAGCCTAAATGACGTGGTCCCTTTAAGGTCATGACGTTCTGGCAAAATATTTTATTTATAGGGACGGCATAGATAGTACTTCCCTCCGATCCCACGAACACTTCCCTCTGCTGGTTCGCGGGACCGAAAGGAAGGACTGTATTCAGGCCAAGCGGTGCGTAATACGGCCACACATTGTGTTCTGCCTGTGTGGCCCGAGGAGGGGAGCGGCGTGGATAACAATAACAGGTAAGTTCACGACAAGTATACAAAAAAAAGAGGAAAAAAAATTGCCAAAAAAAACGTACACGTTTGTAAAAGAAAGTTTTAAATACTTGTCTCATGGCTCAGATCTTACTACTTCTTTGGGAGCCATTGCTGTTATTCAAATGTGATGTTTGGAGCGGAGAGAGAGGTTCCATATAACCAGTGGATGAACCTTCTCCAATTTCTGGGTTTTCAGACTGTTGCCCATCTGCAAGTTTTTCCATGGGGGTTCTTGTGAGGGTTCAGACCAGGGCTGCAGGCGCTGGTTCCATAATATCTTTCTTTAGAACAGCTGCCCAAAACTGCACAGCATATTCAAAGTGTGGTCGTACCAGTAATTTTATGAAAAGGCAAAATTATATTTTCATCCAGAGAATTAAGGCCCCTATTTATATATAATACATTATTTGCCTTAGCAACTGCTGATTGACATTTCACATTGTTCCCTAGTTTGTTGTCTATAACATGTTCTTAACATGCAACTAAACTGTTTATGTTTTTTTTGTTTGTTTTTTTTCCTTTCTTTCTTTAGAGCGTAAATGAAAGCTACAAGCATAATCTCCAGAAGCTGCAGAAATTTGTTATGGTGAAATTCCTTAAAGATACCATGGTTGTTCCACCAGATTCAGAGGTTAGTGAATAAACCTACATATAACCAGAAGATAGATCTATTTAGAGGCAGTGGAGTAGCTGTCTGAGGGGTGGGGGAAGGAGTGTCAAATAGAGTGCGCACCTTACCGCAGGTAGGCAGTCTGCATATAAGTAGTGTTTTGAACTGGTCCACTGGTAGTAGTGGAAGGACCATAAAACCAGCTATGTTTGGGTGGACGTGTGGACCAATTATTTCTTATAAAATCTAAAGTGTTTTTGTACTTTTTCTTCTTCACAGTGGTTTGCATTCTACAAACCAGGACAAAGTATAGATATTGTCCCATTACAGAACAGCACCCTGTATACTGAGGTAAGAAAATACATCTACACATTCCATTTTTTGTTTTGTTGTTGTTTAACAAAGCTGTAGTTTGTATATACGAGCTCTATGCATATTTCATAAACCTTTCCTGTGCAGGGATTATGACCTAAAGTCCAGCAGCATAATTCATGAAAATACATTAATGAAAGTACTTGGTAGCTATAAATGATGTTATTGTGTCCAGTCCTTAACTGCTATACAGACTATTCTAGAAAGCTATGAGTAGACAATGTACAATAACTTGTGGCATCTAACTTTTATCTCAGTGGAGAACCTATACGCAGGACTGGGGAGCTTGATTAGCAAGTGGTTCTGATGCTAGGTGTTTTATCTTTTGATAATAAATCCTTGACACACTGAGGAGTATATATGTGGTTATTTCTGTCTTGATTCAGTCAGTGTCAAAACCTGAATGCTTGTGACTCTCTTTATTTTCTATCTTTACTGTGACTGGAAACTGAGAAATGGAGGGGGGGGGGGGGCAACAACAAAAACAAAGTTGCATTGTGTAATATAGTAAGCATTAAAATAAAAAAATCTACAATGAAAGGAAACCTTTTATATGGATTCCTAATGCAGTGTGGTATAGTAAAATTCAGTGAAAATCCTTGGATTTGCAATTGAGACATTTTACTAAAAGGAAATAAATTAAAAAAATAAAAATAAAAAGTATCCTCCCCACATACAGGCAGCTTAGAGGTAGTACATGACCACATGGAGATTTCCACCTTTCTTCTATAAGACAGACAGGCTACTAGAAGACACAAAAAAATATTATATACAAACACAATATCTACAGTGGAAAAATGAAACAAAATCATCATAGAGTAATATTGTATAAACACCATAAGATAAAACGGTGTATATTGCACTCACAAACACATTGATAGTAGGCATATCAAATGGTGTTGAAATCTTCAGCACAGATGGACAGACATATGGGAACAAAAATAAAGAAATAATGGTGCATAACATATGATACTAGAAAAGCTGTGCTTTAATATGAGAAATACTTACAGGATTACTGTAGGATACAGGCACATCAAATTAAATAGATGTTCTTTCCACCCAGTTTAGGTCTTGGTCTTTCCTGTTGATCACCACTCTTCAATCGGTTTAAGCACATAAATCTTTATTAACTCGCATAAAACATCAAAAAAATAAAATGAATAATGAAAAAGTTCCCTTTAAATGTCTAAACCCTACACGTTTCGTCCGGTATGGGTCCGAACTTCCTCTGGGGTAATAAGTTAGTTACACTCCTATCATGGAAGGAATCAAAGCAATCTGTAGTCCTATCCAGTTTCAGCACATCAAGATAAGATCAGACAATCTTATGACAGTGGCTTATCTCAACAGACAAGGTGAAACTTGTTAATCAGCCCTAGCTCTTCTATGCTAAAATAAATAGTTGTGGGCGGAGATTATCTTCCTTCTAATTTGGCTGTCTACATCAAGGCAGATGTCAATGTAGTAGTAGATCCCTACGCAGAAATCACATCATGGGGATTGGTCTCTAGGTCCTTATTTTTCAGGAGCGAAGAGGTTTGGCAGCCCAGAAGTGGAACTCATGGCTTCAAAAATAAAAACAAAAGTACAACGATTTGCTTTCATCAACAGAACAGACCAGCCACTTCCTAGATGCATTGGCAATGAAATGGCACTTTGGACGGGCTTACATTTTTCCTCTCATCATTCTGATTCTGTGAGTTCTGCAAAAACTCATTCAGGACAAAGCCAGAGCTTTAGTAATCATCCAATTTTGGCCTTGCAAAAGTTTTACTCCATGGAGGCTCTTTCAAAGTGGAATTACTGGTCCCTACAAACGTCGAAGACTTTCGAACTGACAGCCTGGTCTCTGAGTGGCAGACTCTGCTTCTAGAGGTCTGACTTCCAAAGTGGTAGACATACTGGTAGCCACAAAAATGGAATCATCCAGTATATGGAGCACGTTTTGTTACCAGGTGCCGAGGCATCAATATTGATCTTCTCTATTCATTGCATTCTCAGGTTTCTACAAAGTAAGTTTGCCAAAAGTGGATAATGCTTTAGTAGAGGAGAGCATTGTAGCCCAGAGAAATAGCGTCCTCCCTCAAAGTGCTTTCAGCTTTTCGTTTTTATACCATTAGAGATCTGACTTCCAAAACACTAGTGTCCTTGCTTCATTTCATCAGAGCAGTCTCTAATCTGGTACCCATTATCAGAGAGATTATCCCTCCTTGGGATTTCATCTAAGTCTTGATGCTCCTCCGCTCTCGTTTTTTGGGGGCATGTTTTGAAGTCGAATGCATATGCCAAAACGTGCATTTGCATACTTATTTATTTTTTCCACTGATAACATGGGATGGGAATTTGAGGGAAAATATGCCTAATTATTTGGGATTGATACTTTGAGAAGATGCTCTATTAAGGGTTATAAGTGTATGGGTCTGTTTTATTCATGACAAAGTATTCTATGTGGAGCATTCTTAAACCACTTCGCCCCATGTCCTTGTATGTATGTTAGATTCACCCTGATATTTATGTAAAGATGCAATATTGATATAGAGCCACCCCCTAATCACCCACCTGTTACTCACCTTTAAAGGAACACTGTAGTCACTATAACCATTTCATCTCTTTGAATTGGTCATAGTGCGTAGAGTTCCCTGGCACTGTTTCTCCATTCAGTGTTAAACCATGTTTGAGCTGTTAAGCACTAAATAAGGGTCCCTGGCCACCCACAGTCCAGCACACTTCCCTGTTGACATACAGATTCATACCGCCACTTGGAGCTCTGGTAGACTTGAAGCATTCAGCCAATCACAGCTGCTCCATTGCTGCTCAGGCTAATACTTCCTCAGTAGCCAAAGCCATACAGAGGGGGCGGGGATGCTGGGGACTCTCGTTTACCATTAAAACATTTAAAAACTGTTTAATGCTGAATGAAATGACGGTACCAGGGGACTCCGGACACAATAACCAGTTTAATGAGAAGCAGCAGACACAGTGCCTACAGTGTCCTTTAACAACAGTGAGGCTTACTGACAATAGAGTCTGTTATACAATTCGCTAAGTGAATGTGATTCATATCCTTGATACTTTTTGTTAATTCAGCTGTTGCTTTGTAACTCTATCCTAAGCCTGTGAACTACATGTTACTGTGTATTGTGTGTAGGTAGAGAATTTATATAGAAAATAAAAATATATAATGTTTATATAATAACACTAATTGAGAATAGTAGACATCTTTCTCTACTCGATGCTAATCATAACTGAGTAACTTTGGAGATTAAGTTACTTCTCTAGTAACGTATTGCTGCTTGACTGGGGATTTTACTAATCTAAATTTATCTTATAAGGAAACTGTTGTATTAATTATAGTAAGTTACTATTTAAAGGCCTACTTTGGGTCCCCCTAGTGTTGACCCTTAATATATCAACATTTTTTTTTTGGTTTTTTTTTTTACACAGTTGCACAAAATAACTTAAACAATAACAAGCATAAAACAAAAAAAGGGAAACGGGGGACAGGAACTCCATCACCCCCTATCTATCTCCTCTTCTTTCACTCTCTCCCCCCTGTCCTCCACCTTAAGCCAAACCTCCACACACAAAAAAAGGAAGAAAAAAAAATCCAGTGTCCACAAATTAAATTAGCCATCTTTTCCTTTAACATCATTAGAGGATTTTACTAGTATATCCCACACTTCCCACGTTTCCCCTTTTTGTTCCTCTATTAAATCGAATTTTTGCAATATAGGTTCAATATTAACTAATCCATACCCCTATTAATGGACACGTTTTTCCAAGAGCTCACTATTAAAGTTTTGGCAAAATTAATAACCTAATAACAAATGAGTGCTACTCCCAAAAAGGGGTAATTATCGGGCAACAAAAAAAAAATTTAAAATATCCACCCTTTTGAGGTTCACATCTCCAACATCTGTTACTAACATGAGGTGCAAATCTCTTTATTCCTACCAGTGTTCTATAACTTCTAGATGATAATTTGATAGCTTGCTCTTGGTATCTAACTGCTTTCAAGCCATTTTTTTTTTTTTAAAGTAATTTTAAATATTTAATCAATTTCTGAGGTTCCAAGGGTAAACCTAAATCCATCTTCCATAATCTACAAAAAGAAGTCCTTTCTAAACACTCTGATATTCAAAGTTTTTATACATTACGTAGAAACTGTTCTCGTAATGAAGATTTTAATGAACAAGCCCATACTCTCAAAGAAAAATTAATTGATAAAAACGATTCCCCAGATAATCTTGATAAATCCCTTAAAGCAGTAAAAGAAACAGATCAGATCTCTTAGTATACAAAACAAAAAAATGACAGACTCCTCTTTTATGCCAATTACTTTTAATTTCAATAAGAACAGTTACCAAGTAAAAAAAATTATTAAACATTGGCACAAGATGACACTCTTAAAGAATTTATCCCCAAAAAAACAAACGTAGTTAGAAACATAGAATGTGAGGGCAGATAAGAACCATTCGGCCCATCTAGTCTGCCCAATATTCTAGATACTTTCATTAGTCACTGGCCTTATCTTAAAGTTAGGATAGCCTTATGCCTATCCCACGCATGCTTAAACTCCTTTACTGTGTTAACCTCTACCACTTCAGCTGGAAGGCTATTCCATGCATCCACTACCCTCTCAGTAAAGTAATATTTCCTGATATTATTTTTAAACCTTTGTCCCTCTAATTTAAGACTATGTCCTCTTGTTGTGGTAGTTTGTGTTCTTTTAAATATAGTCTCCTTTACTGTGTTGATTCCCTTTATGTATTTAAACGTTTCTATCATATCCTCCTGTCTCGTCTTTCCTCCAAGCTATACATGTTAAGATCCTTTAACCTTTCTTGGTAAGTTTTATCCCGCAATCCATGAACCCGTTTAGTAGCCCTTCTCTGAACCCTCTCTAAGGTATCAATATCTTTCTGAAGATACGGTCTCCAGTACTGTATACAATACTCCACGTGAGGTCTCACCAGTGTTCTGTACAATGGCATGAGCACTTCCCTCTTTCTACTGCTAATACCTCTCCCTATACAACCAAGCATTCTGCTCTATTACATTGTCTGCCTACCTTTAAGTCATCAGAAATAATCACCACTAAATCCCTTTCCTCAGATGTTGAGTTAGGACTCTATCAAATATTCTGTACTCTGCCCTTGGGTTTTTACATCCAAGATGCATTATCTTGCACTTATCCACATTAACTGTCAGTTGCCACAACTCTGACCATTTTTCTAGTTTACCTAAATCATTTGCCATTTGGCTTATCCCTCCTGGAACATCAACCCTGTTACATATCTTAGTATCATCAGCAAAAAGACATACCTTACCATCAAGACCTTCTGCAATATCAGTAATAAAAATATTAAAGAGAATGGGTCCAAGTACAGATCCCTGAGGTACCCCACCGGTGACAATTCCAAGCTTTGAATATATTCCATTAACTACAACCCTCTGTTGCCTGTCACTCAGCCACTGCCTTTGGGTGTATTCCATCAGGTCCCATTGACTTATGTCTTTACTTTTGACAGTTGAAATAGAACCTCTTCCTCTGTAAACTCACGTGTAATAAATGACTCCTTTATCCTTTTTCTTAACTGAGATCCCTTTCCTTCATTTTCATCTGTAAATACAGAACAAAAATATTCATTGAGGCAGTCAGCTAGACCTTTATCCTCTTCTACATACCTTCCTTCTTTTGTTTTTAATCTAACTAATCCTTTTTACTTTTCTTTTCTCATTTATGTATCTAAAAATATTTTGTCCCCCTTTTTTACTGACACTGCTATTTTCTCTTCTGTGTGTGATTTGGAAGCTTTTATAACTTGCTTAGCCTCTTTCTGCCTAATCTTATAGATCATTTTGTCTTCCTCACTCTGTTTTTTTTAACTATTTTGGCCACATCTGCGGAGTACCACAGTGGTTTCTTGAATTTTTTGCTTTTACTGACAAGCCTAATGCAATTTTATGTTGCCTTCAATAGTGCAACTTTTAAATAATAGTTTTTAGAGGTGCTCCTAGTTTTAGATCTATTTTAACTAAAATTACACTAAATCTACCACTAATCAATCCTTATCCTTTTTATCCCAATGTAAAGGCTTCTTCAAATGGAGTAGATGTTTAGTTTGCAAATCTACAGACCAAAGTATCCAATCCAAAACTACACATTTCACATCAAATATCACCAAAAAAAAAGCATACCCCATTAAAGACCTTGCTGCAATACTAAGAATGTAAAATACCTACTGGAGTGCCTGTGTGGCCTCCAGTACGTTGGGATGACTACCTGGTGCTTAAAAACAAGACTAGCGGAACACTGTCGAAATATTATCAAAAAGATACCCAAAACACTCCGTGTCCAAACACTTTTTTAAATCCACGATAAGAACCTTAAACATCTAAAATGTATAGGTATCCAAAAATGCAAAATAACTTGGAGAGATGGTGATTTTAAAAAGATCATAGGTCAAAAAGAAATGCACTGGGTCTGCCTTATAAAAACCCTTGTCCCTATTGGATTATATGTAGATTTTGATCTTTTTAACTTCTTATAAATATGTGCATTTTAACATATGGAGGTTTTCCTTTAATTTTAATTTATATATTAACATATACACTGATCTTATCATACTTTGTTTTATCAAAACCGTTTTCATTTATGCATTTACATATTGTATTTTTTTTGTATGTCATCTTAATTGTTATATATATTAGAGTTCCAATATTAGACTCTATTGTTGTTTTTCCTTTTACTTTATGCTATATCTTTAATATTTTCATGTGACCCTTATCCTCACCCCCCTTATTTTATTTACCATTCCCTCCCCCATATGGCCACTACTCCCTTTATATATTTTTAGCCCTCTTATATCTGTCCCTTTGTGCAGCTGCATATCTAATTGATTTTGTCAATGATGCTTTAATTACATTAAATATAGAACTGACCAGCTGCAAATTTGGAACCGATTTTATAGCATTCTGCTCAAAATTATTAGTTTTCACTAGGTTACATTTGGACCATAGTGAATAAATCCCCCACTTATTATATGCTATGTGGCCTGTAAGAGTTATGATGTTAACAGAGGCTCAACGTTTCCACTAAAAATTGAGTCCTGGTGAGTGTGCCTTCGACGCTCCAGACTTACAGTAGGAAGTAACTTTTTGGCCTGTCTAGTAGTATAGAACTTGAAATTTTCATCCCTGAAATAGTCAGACTTAGACAGAAATAGTTTAATTAAGGAAAAAGGGAGCTGTGGTCAGAAGTGGTATATCAGCAAAATGTTTGAATAGGTGGTTTCTAGAATTGGTGCTGCATTTCACTTATTGGATGTAAAGAGGCAATTTGTTCCAATGGTAGGAGGCTAAGAGACAACGTGAGTCTAAATGTGCATAAGGTTATGGTTGTACAGGAGGATGCAAAGAGGGGTTTTATTGTTTGTTTAAACTTTGTGGTAGACACTTATTTTACCATGGAATAGCATTACTTTTTTAAAATGTACTTCACTAAGCAATGATCTCTGTCCCTACAGGATCGTTTGGGATTAAGAGAAATGGACAAAGCTGGGAAGCTGGTGTTCCTTGGTGTGGAGGGTGACCACCTGAGCTTCACAGATGAATGGTTTAATGAGAACATCTTACCATTCCTGCACTGAGTACCCTTGAAACTGTACCATTGTCACAAACTGCTGAATCAATCACTTTGTTGATATTGTGATGATCCTCACTGGAAGGAGCCAGGAGCCCTATGCATTCTTTAGTTCTCCCTATAACACTGTCCTAACAGAACTTTAGGTAGAAATTGACTGCGTTTCAGTAACTGCATCATTTTTAAAGATTTTTATTTTTTCAAAGAGACCATTTTTCTGCATATCAAAATGCATAGCACTGATGAGAGGGAATTCCTCTCAAGACCGCATATAATCTATAAAATAGCAACACCCTTCCAAGTTTGTGTTTTAATTAAAATAAATAAAAATCTTAAACTATTCCAAGTTAATGTCTTTTCATGATATTCAATTTTCTTTTATTCTACCGGCTGAACAGAAATGTACCTACATTGGAATAAAGTTTTCTTTTGGGAACCTTGCAGTTTTTAAATTTACAGACCTTTAGTAAATAAATTAAATGAGATAATTAAAAATGACAAAGATACTAAGCTATTAATGAAGTGTGTAGACCTCATTAGCTCTATAAAAAGTCATGTTATACCCAGTGCTAAAATTAGATGGGAAAAGGACTTACACATTCCTGTTGATATGAAAGATTGGAATGTCTCTTTACAATCTGTATACTGTTTGGTTAATTGCTTAAATATAATGGAAGCCCATTTTAAATTATTGAATAGATGGTGGATCAAGATTTTAGATTCTCCTGCCTCAACATGAGCCTCACTCTCTAATTTATTTATTTTTCTGAGTAAGGCAAGTTAACCCGGGCTGCCAAGGAGGCTTAGGCCCCAGACTGTTTATAATTCGATTTGGACACCGTTAAGCACGTAATGGAATGGGTAAGAGTATGCTGAAGAGTAAAGCAAGAAAAACATGCCCAATAAAGGATCCTGGACACCCCCCCTCTCCCCCAAAACCCACATAACTTGTTGGGAGAGGTAAAAGTGATCATAGAAGAACTGCTCATTACAACATGGAGAGGTAACCCCAACCAAAGATCAGCCAACTACCTTCAATGGCAGGACACATCCCAAGCTTCACTTGTAGGCCTGTTGCTGATATCCCAAGTAAATTGTCCCCAGGAATGGGTAGTCACCTGCTGCTACTGAATGGCTTGTCGGGTGGTAGAAATTCAGCATGAGCTGTATCGAATGAGCCGTATGAGGTAAGGAGATGAAATTTGGTAGAAACTTTGGTTCGTAATACTTGATGTAGCTCAGCATCATGGGCCTCATCAACCAGTGGCCTGATCACTTTTGGAACAGCTTTGCCGAATTACGTGTGTGTCCTCATTGGTAGTGCCCCAGGTCGGGCCTCAGGAGCCATGTGAAGCTCAGATAATGTTGCACAAAACAGCTCGCTGAGGGCGTCATGAGCCCTAAGGGAGGTCACCCCCTCCACGGAGTGCAGATCAGGCTGAGCCACCATCTTGAAGGTTACATGAGACCTCCGATCACTGTAGATATTCAGGCTTGAGGGGTGGGGGAGCTGGGCCAGCACCACTCAGAATGACGGGACCAGTATGCTGCAGGAAAGCAGGGTGGAGCCCGTCCACTGCACCCACTGCCTGGGTAGGCCCAAGTAGGCATCGTTCATGAGATTCTTCTCTCCTGAAGGGGCCAAGAGTTGTTCATTGCCTCCAATAACACTTGCGAGACCCGCAGCAACGGTAACCCATGGCTACGCTCAGAAAGCCATGGGTCTCGCAAGAGTTATTGGAGGCAATGAACTGCGTGTGAAGAAGCTGTGTGCTGGGCCCCCTGTGCGGTAACAGGGAGCCGGGGGCCTCTGGCTGCACACATAGATAGCGATATTCACTATCCATGTGTGCAGAGAGGGAAAGTGGGACCGCCGGGGGGGTCACCCCCTGATGGCTGCCCTGGTATTAACTATCCACTTATTTTAGGTGGAATGGTTTAATCCACACTTTTTTCCCCACCACAACTCTTTGGTATGTTACTTTCCTGAGATATATTTGTAGAGACATAGAACAAGAGTGATGGATGGGTAAATAAATCTCCAGCTGGACTTTACAATCTAAGATCCTCAAATCCACAGAACTTAAAAAGGGAAGGTGCAATGCAGTTGTTGGCATGTGAACATTCAGGTTAATGTTTGCTAGCCAGCAAAGAACAGAAGGCTGAGGTCTTACAGAAAGCTCACTTCCATATTAAAAGGAATATAACTTGATTAATATACTGGGACCATGCATGATCGACAATTCCCTATGCATACCCCAACCCCTAACCCTACCCCAACTAGGGGTAGGGGTAGAGCTAGGGTAGGGTTAGATTCCTGTCATCATTCCCTTAATTTACCATCCCTCTGCTGTTTTGCCACTTTTCAGAAATCCGAAGCACTTCGGCACTTCCGAAGCATCCGAATGTCCAAATTGACGAAATTTATCCGAATTTAAATTCAGACCGAAACGAATTGTACATGTCTATTAATAAATGTCTTAATTAAAGGACCACTATAGTGCCAGGAAAACACTCGTTTTCCTGGCCTTATAGTGCCCTGAGGGTGCCCCCACCCTCAGGGTCCCCCTCCCGCCGGGCTGGACGGAGAGGAAGGGTTAAATCTTTCCATTTTTCCAGTGCTGGGCGAGGAGCTCTCCTCCTCTCCTCCCTCTTTTGCTGGCTGCGCGCGCATTCAGCCAGTCCATAGGAAAGCATTCACAATGCTTTCCTATGGACGCTGGCGTTTTTTCACTGTGAAAATCACAGTGAGAAGCACGCAAGCGCCTCTAGCGGCTGTCAAGAGAGAGCCACTGGAGGCTGGCTTAACCCTATTATAAACATAGTTTCTCTGAAACTGCTATGTTTATAACAAAAAAAGGGGTTAACCCTAGCTGGACCTGGCACCCAGACTACTTCATTAAGCTGAATTGGTATGGGTGCCTATAGTGGTCCTTTAAGAACTTTATACCTGGGGCCAAATTAATTGTTACATATTAAAATATGCCCACAACCAATCAAAAACCAGATTTTAATCCCAGGTACGGCCCAGTTACAAACAAGGGGCAGGATCTGAAAGGTGGTAATTATGGTTAAATAGGGGGAGAAATTAGATAAGAGGGATTCAAGATTTTCAGATACGCTTTAAAGATCAAAGGAGATCCAGAAAGTTAGGAGATCAAATGGAAAGACTGAATAACAAACATCAAATAATTCAAAGGCTGTTTCACAACCTCCCTAATGGTTATACCCACACTGAAATAATAAAATAAAATTAGAAATCATATAGTGGTTAGTAACACACAAAATAGCAACAGAGTATAAAACAGTAAATTAAATACTCCGCATAGTATCCATATACAACAGAGTATAAAACAGTAAATTAAATACTCAGCATAGTATCCATATACAACAAAGTTGCTAGATGTATTCAGCTTTAGACATGTCAATAAATCATATACAAATACATCAATAATATAATGCCAAAGGAAACAATATGCCAAAGGAAACAAACACAACAAAAAAATATAGACACATCAAATAATATAAAAAAACTTTTAGATAAAAAAATAAATAAATAGTACCTGACCTCAGTGTGGGCCCCCACCAGAGGTAGAAATAAAATCCAAGTTAGGGATAACCAAAAAGACCCCCAGATGACACCAAATAACTCAATGAAGAGTGGGAGCAAATGCACTATAGGACGAACAACAACCTATAGTCTTAATAGCGCGGTCGGGATCTTCGAAAAAGACCGTGGTATTAATAATACACAGCCGAAGGAAGCTGTGCAAGAGATGCTGCCCAGGATGAAAGAAACTTTAGTTGAACCGATGAAAAGACCGCGGCAATCAGCCAGGAAAGACACCTTGTTAGGGAGGTTGTGAAACAGCCTTTGAATTATTTGATGTTTATTAAAAGATTTATACTTTTATATTTAATTTTTTAGTTTGTGATTTTTTATTAGGAGCGCACACACCTTTTGGTTTATTGTGAGTTAATTGCTCAATTCAGTCGCTTACTGGTGTTTTGTTGCCGCCCCTTTTTAATTATATTGATTTATAGTATAGTTGTACCGTTCTATATATATATTTTTTTTTATAATTTTTTTTTTTAAAGACTGAATAACAAACCAGAGAAACCCAAATTGTATTAATCTGCTATACAATTCTGGTAATATATAAAGGTTTCTGTTTACCGGTATTTTAAAAATAAACTTGGCCATTAAATGCCCTATACAGGTGATACTCGAACAATTAGAATATCGTGGCAAAAATAAGTTTATTTCAGGAATGCAAGGTAAAATGGGAAACTAATATATGAGATAGACGCATTACATGCAAAGCAAGATAGTTCAAGCCGTGATTTGTCATAAGTGTGATGATTATGGTTTACAGCTCATGAAAACCCCAAATCCACAATCTCAGTAAATTAGAATATTGTGAAAAGGTGCAATATTCTAGGCTCAGTGTCCCAATCTAATCAGCTAAGTAAGCCATAACACCTGCAAAGGGTTTCTGAGCCTTTAAATGGTCTCTCAGTCTGGTTCAGTAGGAATCACAATCATGGGGAGGACTGCTGACCTGACAGTTGTGCAGAAAACCATAATTGACACCCTCCATAAGGAGGGAAAGCCTCAAAAGGTAATTGCGAAGGAAGTTGGATGTTCCCAAAGTGCTGTATCAAAGCACATTAATAGAAAGTTATGTGGAAGGGAAAAGTGTGGAAGAAAAAGGTGCACAAGCAGCAGAGATGACCGCAGCCTGGAGAGGATTGTCAGGAAAAGGCCATTCAAAAGTGTTGGGGACTTTCACAAGGAGTGGACTGAGGCTGGAGTCAGTGCATCAAGAGCCACCACACACAGACCGATCCTGGACAAGGGCTTCAGATGTCGTATTCCTCGTCAAGCCGCTCCTGAACAACAAACAACGTCGGAAGCATCTTACCTGGGCTAAAGAAAAACAGACCTGATCTGATGCTCAGTGGTCCAAAGTCCTCCTTTCTGATGAGAGCAACATTTGCATCTCATTTGGAAACCAAGGACCCAGAGTCTGGAGGAAGAATGAAGAGACACACACTGCAAGATGAAGTCCAGTGGGCAGTTTCCACAGTCTGTGTTGATTTGGGGAGCCATGTCATCTGCTGGTGTTGGTCCACTGTGCTTCATTCAGTCCAAGGTCAACCAGCCGTCTACCATGAGATTTTGGAGCACTTCATGCTTCCTTCCGCAGATGAGTTTTATGGGGATACTGACTTCATTTTCCAGGAGGAAAATGCTGGAATTTTTCACCTGCCCACACTGCCAAAAGCACCAAAGCTTGGTTCAATGACCGTGGGATTACGGTGCTTGATTGGCCAGAAAACTCACCTGACCTGAACCCCATAGAGAATATATGGGGCATTGCCAAGAGAAAGATGAGAGACATGA